GCGCGCACAATCAAAAATCCTGAGAACTATCACAGGGGCACCTTGGTATGTTCGCAACGAAAACATCCACCGGGATCTGGGCATCCTCGCAGTGAAAGACGAAATCCAGAAGCAAAAAGAGTCATACAAAGAAAAACTGTCTTCGCACCCAAATTTTCTCGCTCGGGGATTGACTCGGGTTTCTAGCGTATCCCGCCTTAGACGCAACGACCTCCCAACCCAGCAATCGATTTTTAGGGCCGTCTAACTCCGTATCAGTCAATATGACTGTTAGTTAAGTTAAAAATATAAGATTTGATACACCTCTTGTTAGTCTCGCAAAGAGAAGATTCAAGAAATAAAAGCAACGTTAAAAAAAAAAAAAAAAAAAAAAATTTGAGGGAAAGGAAAGAGATGTTATAGAGTATGGACCATTGTAGCTCGAACATAATACCCTAAAAGGGTCATGCAGTGCATATGTCGAACTACAATGGATAAGGACAGAGGACTAAAGTTTCGAGAGCTTCTATTAGGAATATTAAATTTTAAGCATGTTAGTAAATGCTGGCTATCTGCATCCCCGTTAATAAGGTTATGTAGGAAGACTACACCGAGCATTGTCCTACGATTTGTTAAGCTAGGTAAGTTTAAAAGTAAAAGTCTGCTACTGTAGGATGGAAGCTGAAGATTTGTATCCCAGTATAGACCTCTAAGCGCGAATATTCAAAAATTCATTTGTACGGATTCTATGCGGTCCTTATGTACTCCATATTGGGGACTCCAGACACATGAACCGTGCTCCAATATCGGACGGACCAACGAAATAAATAATGTATGGGTCATTAAATTCTTTTGACCACCTTTTAATAAAACCAAGAACTCCTCTAGCCTTATTAACCATTAAGGAAATGTGCCCGGAATTTAAGTTTAAAGTGTAATAGGACGCCGAGATCATTAACCTGAGTTAGCTTGCAGAGGGCAAGAACGATAAAAAGACATAAGCTTGCATTTTGATCCACTAAGTATTAGATCATTAGCTAAACAACATTTTTGAAAGTTGTCAAAGTCAGACTGAAGACAAAGCTTTACATCATCTGCATACATAAGAACTAGAGAGTTCGTTAAAGCAGGGGCAAGTCGTTTATAAAAAGCGTAAATAATAACGGGCCAAGATGACTACCTTGAGGGACGCCAGATGTAGCACGGACCAGACGGGACTGTATATTTTTAAATAAGACTCTTTGTGTCCTTCTATCTAAGTAGCTGGAAATCCACGTTAAGAGGTCTATAAGAAAAACCAGCATATTCAGTTTTCTCAACAAGAGTGAGTGATTAACTGAATCAAATGCTTTGCTGAAGTCTGTGTAAATTACATCGGTTTGATATCCCTTACAAAAAACATCTAAGACAAAGGATGTCAACTCCAGTAAATTTGTGGTGGTGGAGCGACGCTTAATAAAGCCATGCTGACAGGGAGAGATAATTGAAGAGCAATAGTGTTGCAAATGAGGGGTAATTAATTTTTTCCAAATAACTTTGGAATTGCCAACTTAGAGATGCCTCTGTAGTTGGCAGCATCGGACTTTTTCCCTTTTTTATGTAGGGGAATTATGAATGATTCCTTCCACTCAACGGGAAAAACCGATGTTTCCAAAGATAAGTTGAAAAGTCTTAGAAGAGGTTTGCACATAGCCCTGGCACAGTATTTTAGCACACAGCCTGGTACTCCATCAGGGTCTGGCGAATAAATGGGTTTGATCCTTAGAAGATCAGATAATAAGTTGTTCTCAGAGAAAAACGGACAGAAAATAAGATTTGCTGCTTGAATGTTATATGCGTAAGGCTGATCTGTCAATATAAGGCGGAGAATAAGTTGTTTGAAAAAATTTTTCGAATAGATCGGCAATGGCCTGATCAGAGGTCGCAGATGAATTTTCAAACGTAAGCAGAGGTGGGAAAGATACATGTTTACGCTTAGTGTTTACAAAATTATAAAACTGCTTTGGATCCTGAGTAAATTGTATCCGGCAGCGGCGAATATAATTCCTGTAAAATTCAGCGTTATGCATGGTAAAATTTTACCGAGCTAGTAGATATCTTGAAAATTCAATACTAGGTTATAGGTTTAAATAGGTTTTTTTATATTTAAGTAAAAGCTTATTTTTAGTATTTTTAGGGACCGTCCATATATTGCGTGACGCGAATTTCAGACTTTTTTGACACCCTCCCCCCCTGCGTGGCAAACCATGACACGAGATTAGACCCCCGTGACCACAACCCGTGACGTTAACACCTTTTTTGAAAGTAATCAAGGTCAGACTGAAAACTGCAATGGCAGAGATGGATTTGTACTGAAGACAAATCTTTACATCATCTGCACACTTAAGAACTAGAGAGTTCCTTAAAGCAGGGGGCAAGTCATTTTTAATAAGAGTAAGTAACAACGGGCCAAGATGACTACCTTGAGGGACGCCAGATGTAGCACGGACCAGACGGGAATGTATGTTTTTAATTAAGACTCTTTATGTCCTTCCATCTAGGTAGCTGGAGATCCACCTTGAGAAGTCTGTAAAAAATCTTTTAAATCTTTTCTTAATCGCAAAGTTGTATCATTTCGGATCGTTAATAGTGCGGCTAAAGAATTTAGTCAGCCGATTCTTATGAAATTTGGTTAATAAAATAGGGGTTAAATGACAACAGCTAGTCATATGCCTCTAGCTTAAAAAACACTGTATGCTTCTACGCGAATTAGTTTCTCAGTTTTCAAGCAATTATGTTAAAATTTTGCACACGTCCGCCTTTCCTTTACACGCAGTATATATGTTACATAAGTTAAGGGGTTATATACAGTTGTACCGCGCAAAATAATGAAATTTTATCGATTTTTTTTGTTAAACCATAGAAAATATTTATTAAAAATGTTTTACTGACGTTGTTTAGTACATGTTTCTGTTTCAATCAAAATGTTATAGCCAAAAAAAATGTTGTAGCAAAAAAATTGAAAATTCGTTCATTTCGACTACGGCGTCTGTGCGGTCCTGACACAGGACACCGAGGGGAATGAGCGACTAATCGCCAACGCCAGTCGGACCTTGATAGGGGCGAAAAAGAACTACTATGAAAAGCAGTGCCTTGCCATAGAATTATGGCTTGTGGGCGATTACACATGACGCTAAAATGGCTGAACAACATCGAGAGCCCGCTTGGAAGAAAAGCGAGATGGATGTTCAAGCTGCAGCAATAGGAATAGGACATCATCAGCTACCGGAAGGGTAAGCTGCAAATAGCCTAACGTGGTCGCAGACGCACTTTCCCGCCAGCCAGTAATGGAAAAATTAAGGAGCGGCACAGCAAATGTGAAGTGCGTGTGTATAAGCGCGCTCAGAGACAGGATGAAGGCGAACCCATAGAAATATTCTCATTATATCGAAGAAGGCGTCCTGATCTACCGCCACGTCCCGCATAGAGACGGAAGCGAAGAAGCGTCGTCGTGGATGTTATGCGTACCGGCGGACACACCTACTTATTTAAATAGAGAAAAAAAAGGGTGAGGTGCTGGCCATCGAAAGGGCAGTAGTAAGTAGAACCGAAAGCAGAGCCCGAGCAGAAACAGAAACGAAAGCAGCCATCGACGGCGAAGGAGCAGCAGCAGCGACCACAGCAACAGAAGCGGCCATCGACGCGTAGCAAACATCGCAACGGTGGCAGAGGCACGCAGCGCAGGAGTCCAAACGAAGTAAAAGGTCAGTCTAACCAGTCTAACCAGAATGGTTTCCAGTCTTTAGAACTTATCCACTTCTCTTCCGTACCTAGGCGTAGAAATTGTCTCTGACCAGATGGGTTCTGCGTAAAGGATTTACCCAGATGCAATACTCGTTATCTCTCGTGTTTAACAGGATCCTGGTAAGGCTTCCGATTGGGCTTCTTTGATGTATATTCCAAGAGAACCCGGAAGGCGAGTCTGCCACAATCAACACCCCAAGATCTTTTACAGCTATTTGAGATGTGATAGCCATGACCTCGACAGCTGCCTGTTCCAACTCTGGCATCTTCGTTTTTCTGGCTAATTTGAGCGCTTCTACATGAAACCACTTCAAGATCATTTCAATGACTTTGTTAGCCTTTCTCTCTTCCTCAATGCTTTGCTACGGCCACCTTTAGTATTTCATCTGCAAAGCCAATAACGTCGCATTCTGCTGGGAGGTTTAGGAATAACTTTTCACAACTGCGGTCCTAGAACTTATCCTTGTGGAACGCCCACCCTTGTGTCATGGGTGTCCATTTCCGTTTTCCTCTGGTTTCAGAATCCAAAAGCAGGACTGCTTTCGACTTCCATGAGGGTGCAATTCGAAATTTCTTAGAGCCGCGAGTATTCTGCCTTAGTCCGCCGCACACTGGGTAGGATTTCTAGAATGAGGGGCATAAAAATCGAATATTGCGTCTATAGCGCTAAGACTTGGCTTTTTTTTAGTAATACACCATTCTAAATATTTAAGCTATCTTTGAAGTAAGCTTGACAACGCCTACCCCGACCGCTTATATAAGACACAATGACGATTAGGTAACATAAAATTATATATATTTTTTTTCTAATACATCATACTTATTTTTATTAATAATTAAAATAATAAGAACTATGTATGTATATACCTGACATAGGAAATCAAAACAGATAGTTCAAACTTTTTTAATATTCAATTAAATATTATTTTCCTAGAAGAAATTCAATATTATTTTCATTATATTTTCTTGCAAATACTGTGGCTAGCATGAATGAAACCTATGGTACCGCTCTTATTTTTAAGTGCTGCATCCACATACATATTTTGTTTTTGAGCCAATATCCATCAAGCAAGAGCGGTAGAGTTGCGACCGCTGTCGATGAAGACAAGCACCTTGGTTAGGATTTTTTCTCTTTGAAAAACAATACACATATAAAACATATAATAAATTAAAACAAAATGGCTTTTCTGTAAACTCCATGTGCTTACCTCGAACCATTTTAACCATTTTAAACAATACTGTACGAGTTCAAGACATGCAGAAAATCGTGCATTGCAGATAGGCAACAGATGATCCTATACAAACAGGTACCGACGAACCGAGGAAACGACGAAGTTACTGGTATCAAGAACCGGTGGCAGACAAAAGCAACTTTTCAGCTACACAATTTACATTTGGTGACCCCCGACTTTGGACACAGGATTCATTTGGAGAATCATACTCGTATAGTTGGTCAACTGGGCGACCAAACTACAAAAAAAAAAAATACCAACAACTGATCAACTTGGCGATCTTGGACATCACTGGATAGTCAACTTGGCAGCAACAAAACAGGAGAAAATCAAGCTCCATAGCCATAGTATTTAAAAGAATACCTTGACCGCCTATTTGGTTGTGAGTAGAGGCACAACCTGTCAAAGCGACAAATCAAAATACCTCCAACGGGTCAGGTATTATTTTAAATAAAAAAAATGGCATTATCAAATATCAACGCATTGCTGGACAGGCAATTGATAACAGGCGAAGAGATCCAAAACGTAATAAGGAATTACAAGAAGGATTCGCCTGAACGAAAACAACAGCCTGACTATTTCCAAAAACGCATTGAGAAGTTAGTTAAGCTGTGGGAAATATTTTCTAAAGATGATTTAATTATAAAAAGTACAACAGAAGGTGCTAAAATTGAGCACAGTTACTTTAAAAATAATTATTTCAATCAAATAAGAGATTTGGTTGTATCCTACAAAGGAGAATTCAACAAACAATTATCCACAGTACAAATGGATACTGGATCGGTTGCTTCCAGTGAAGAAGAATCGGAACTGGAGCCAATGATTCGGGAACAAAGGGCTCTGCTGATTAGTCTGGAACGAATCATGAATAAAATGACGAATGAAACTCGTCAAGGATTTATGCCAATCATAAATCAGTATTGGGATAAGATAACAACTATCCACATTGAAATTTATAAAAAATTTGAGGATCCTGCAAAACTTGGATATCTCGACCAGAGATATTTAGCAGCGGAAGACGCCGTCATAGCAGTCCAAACTATGACATGTGAAGAAAGCATCTCACGTCCTGCCAACATACCTCAAATGCATGCCTCATTGCCGTTGCCGAAAGTTGAAATTCCCAAATTTAATGGTGACTATTTAAAATGGCAACAATTTCATGACATTTTCAAGAAAATGATTCATGAAGCATCATTACCCATCATTCAAAAGATGTGGTTCTTAAAAACTAGCATCACTGGAGAGGCTGAGCGTTTAATACGCCATCTATCCTTAACCGAAGGAAACTATGCAACAGCATGGAATATGCTACAAGAGCGTTTTAGCAACAAAAGAGTGCTAAGTAACGCGTTAATACAAAAAATATTGGACCAACCATCAATAACAAATGATGCGAAATCCATAAAGGCAATGCATGATAATATTAAAGAAACATTATCTGCGCTTTGTAACATTGGAATTCAAACTGAAAATTGGGATCCAATACTATTATGTAGTTTGACAAGGAAATTAGATCGTCAAACTCATATGTTATATGAACAGTCAATTGTAGACTTGAAGAAACTGCAGAAACTGGATCAGTTTTTGACCTTCTTGGAACATCGGTTCCTTACATTGGAGGCTACCGGTAGTGATAAGATAAATCACACCAAAAAAGGCACATGCGCTCAGATTGGTACAGAATATACATGCTATTTCTGTAACAAACCCAATCACATTATGTACAAGTGCAACGAGTTTTTGAAGAAAACAACAGCTGAACGATTAAATTGGACTCAAAGGAGCTATGCGTAAAATGCTTCAAACGCGATCATTCAGCAAAGGAATGTCAGAAGAAAAATTGTTTTAAATGCGATAAAAGGCATAACACCCTTCTACATTTGGAATCAAAGCCTGACTCTAAAACAGCAGCATCAGCAAGTGGAGTACAAACCAATTATGTACTTTTAGCCACTGCTCGAGTTATTATTGAAGGCAATAATGGACGAATGGCCGAATTCAGAGCATTACTTGACTCAGGTTCTCAAGTCAATGTAATCTCTGAAAGAGCATTAAACATATTAGCTCTCGACGTTAAAAAATCAGAGCTACAAATAAATGGAATTGGTGGACGAATACAAACATCAAAGGCACGAGTTAATGTTATGCTCAAATCACAGCATAACAACTTCAACTCTCGATTGGAGGTTATTGTATTGCCTCACATTGTTGCAGATCAGCCAGGACAGTCAATTGATATTAATCGTTGGAAACTTCCAAAACATATTGAATTGGCTGATCCCAATTTTGATAAAACAGGAAGGATTGATCTACTCTTGGGAGCAGAACACTATTACGATATAATGCAGGACAAGCATTTATCGTTGGGTAAAGGACTGCCAAAATTACAAAAAACCAAACTAGGATGGATTGTGGCTGGAAAATTAAAACACAATTCACCTAGATCAACTACCTGTGCAGCTCTAACCGAGGAAGATAAGGTAGACGAACAAATCACGAAATTTTGGGAACTGGATTCATTCTCAACTGATGCGCCATGCCTATCTCCACTGGAGAAACAATGTGAAAGACACTTTCTCCAGCACATTCAGACTGCAATTGATAAGAAATCAATTGTTAGGCTCCCATTCATGGATAATGCTTCAGCCCTGGGGGAGAGTCGTGATCTTGCAACACGACGATTCCTTTCCTTGGAAAAACGGCTATTGCGAGATCCACAAACTAAGGCAAGTTATGTGGAGTTTATGAAAGAATACGAAGCTCTTGGGCATATGAAGGAGATGCACACAAGTGAAATTAAAAAAGCACGGTACTTCATACCACATCACTGTGTGCTCAAACCTGAAAGTACAACAACCAAATTAAGAGTGGTTTTTGATGCATCTGCAGTTACGTCATCAGGAAAATCGCTCAACGACTTACTGCACAAAGGTCCTACGGTGCAAAACTCTATATTTTCAATTTTGCTGCGATTTAGGACTTACAAATATGTTTTCACGGCGGACATAGAGAAAATGTACCGTCAAATCTGGATAAATCCCGAAGACCAATATTTCCAAACAATTGTTTGGCGCAATAATCCATCTGAGGATTTGCGATACTACAGATTAAAAACGGTTACCTATGGAACAAAAGCTGCACCGTATTTAGCCACAAAATGCTTGCAGCACATAGCACAAAAAGGCAGAAAGGAATACCCTAATGGTGCTGCCGCATTGGAAAAAGACTTCTATGTAGACGATTGCTTAACCGGAGCCGAAACTATACCAGAAGCTCTACAGAGGCAACAACAGCTTAACAAACTTCTGCAAAATTCTGGATTCAAGTTAAGAAAATGGTGTACCAACAATTTCCAAGTTCTACAAGGAGTTCCGAGGGAAGACATCACTTCAAATGTACAACTAGAGGAGACTTCATATGAGGACTACACGATTAAGACCCTCGGAATCACCTGGACACCAACGACAGATCACCTTTGTGGGAAAACGGAGATAGCAACAAAGGCCAACATATCAAGACGAGATGTTGTGTCTGAAATCTTTAGGATATTTGATCCTCTTGGTTTATTTTCCCCAGTTGTAATGAAAGCAAAAATTTTCATGCAACACCTCACAAAGGAGGGTTATGAATATAAAGACGATCTGCCGGCTCATCTTCAGGAGGAATGGAAACGCTACAGGGAGGAGCTAAAGGTTCTGAACACCATAAAGGTACCACGTCACGTCTACTTAGGAAAAACACCTGTGACGGCAGAAATCCACACATTTGTTGATGCCTCGGAGAAGGCATATGGAGCTGCTGTATACATCCGAGCGAAGAACGATCCAGTTATTGTGTGCAAAATCTCACTTAGCACCAATAAATACAATAACGTTACCACGTCTGGAACTTAAGGCTGCTGTATTAGGAGCACAGTTGACTTCTAAAGTAAAGAAAGACTTGGCCATGAAAAATGCATCCACATTTTATTGGTCTGATTCACGGATTGTACTGTCATGGATTAATTGCTCAACATCCATTCGAGACAAATTCGTTGCCACCAGAGTTGCAACAATACATGAGCTATCCTTACCCAAACAGTGGAGACATGTTGCATCAGAACACAATGCCGCAGATGTCCTCTCCAGAGGAATGACAGCTTCAAAATTCGCGGAACATGCCATGTGGTTCTACGGCCCTATGTTCCTACATGGTTCATCATCCACATGGCCCGCTCCGTTTATTGCTACCAACGAGGAACTAATAATTATGAATCCGCCAAAGGTTAGTCAATCATCCGTGATGACTATCACAAAAGAGGAGGACATAATATACACAATACAACATAATAATTCATTTAACAAGCTACTCAGAATAATAGCTTACATAATGCGCTTTCGACGTAAGAAGAAGTACACAAGCCACACCATTGAGTTTGAAGAAATAATGGCAGCCCGAAAAATTGTCTTCCGCAATATTCAAAAAATCGACTTCAAAGATGACATCAAACATCTCAAGCGGCAAAGGGAGACACTAAAAGGCAGTTCAATCAACTCACTATCACCATTCTTAGATCAGAATGGAATTTTGCGTGTAGGAGGTCGACTGGAGGCGGCAAATATATCATTCGACTCCAAACATCCGATACTTTTGCCATACAACGACTCTGTTGTGAAGATGATTCTTGTGCAAATACACAAGGACAACATGCATTGCGGACCTCAAGCTTTATTGACTGCATCAAGGCAGCAATTCTGGATCCTTAAAGGAAAAACGATGGCTAGGAGCACTGTAAGAGCCTGTGTCAAGTGCACTAAAGCTAAACCAAAATTAATGGAGCAGATCATGGGAAATCTGCCACCACTGAGGGTAACGCAAGCTCGACCATTTTTCAACTCTGGCGTCGATTATTGTGGACCATTTAAAATTCACTACAAAGTGAGAGGAAAGAAGCCTAGCACAGCTTACATTGCTATATTCTGCTGTTTTACGACTAAAGCTGTACATCTGGAGCTGGTTAGCGATCTCACAACAGAGGCATTCTTGGCAGCACTTCGTCGTTTCATTGCTCGGCGAGGGAAATGCCAAACTCTTCACTGCGACAATGCAACAAATTTTGTGGGAGCCAAAAACAAGTTGCAAGAGCTACAGGAGGCTATATTCTCCGATAATGCGAAAACACAAATTCTCCAGGAGTGTAACAACAAGGGAGTTCAGTTTAAATTCATCCCACCTCGTGCACCACACTTCGGAGGATTATGGGAAGCTGCAGTAAAGTCGGCAAAACATTTATTACTAAAAAATGTGACGACAGCCGATCTTACTTATGAAGAACTTGAAACAGTTATAGTCGAAATAGAGGCCATATTGAACTCTCGACCATTAACACCACTGTCCGATGACCCAAATGACGTTACAGCATTAACGCCTGGACACTTCCTAATTGGAGAGCCGCTAACTGCACAAGCTGATTGTGAACCATCGCAGCAACCAAAAACGTTAGGTAATCGATGGCAAGCCGTTTCAAAACTGAAACATGCGTTCTGGAAACAATGGTCACAGGATTATCTACAACAGTTGCAGCAACGTCAAAAATGGAGAAGATCCTCAACAAACATAAAGGAAGGCACTTTAGTAATAATGAAGGAAGACAATGTTCCTGTATTACAATGGCCAATGGGAAGAATTGTTCGAGTCTTCTACGGGAAGGACAACTTTGCACGAGTGGTTGAAGTTAAAACGACCAAAGGGATCTTTAAACGTGAAATTCAACATGTTGCTCCACTCTTTAATGAAGAAGAACCCACTGACAAACATCCAATTGAAGAAGATGAAGTAGAAGAAGAAAACAGAGCAGTGGAAGACCGCCAGCTGAGGAAAAGACCAAATCACGCTTCGATAACCACTGTCATGATTGTCATGTTATTATTATTACCATTAGCCTGGGCCCAATCGATTCAAATAACTCAGTTTGGATCAAAACCAGGAATATTTTTCGAGAAAATTGGGACAACCCAATTAGCAGTGGCTGACTGGACCATAGTGGCTTACTTCGATCTCAAACCATATTGGAGTGACATGGCTACATTTTCAAAAGGAACAAAAAAAACTTGGTCAAATGTGCGCTACACTTAATGATGCACACTCATGTGAAGGAATGTACCAATACTTCCAACAAGTAGAGAATGAACTCATCATGGAAAATATGCTATTGGCCAAATCACGGAAAGTTCGAGCACCATTGGACATCGTGGGAAACATTGCAAGCAGTCTATTTGGTGTATTAGATTCTCAATATGCACAAGACATGTCGAAAACAATATCGAAGGTCCAGGACAATGAAGATCATGTCTTGGAGTTATTACAAAACCAAACGTCCTTAGTTGATTCAACAATAAACGTAGTGAAACGAGATGAAATTGCATACGCAAAACGATTCAACCTAATTGAAAGTCAAATGAATGCAATAATAAAGGATAATTATCATTGGTACATTACACTGACATCACAACTTACGTTGCTCGCTACGAATCTACATCGAATGCAGAATGAAATCATCAAAGTGTTAACAGACGTGCGCCACAACACTATTAGTCCACTTCTATTATCACCACGACAACTAAAGGAGCAATGTGATCAAATACGGGACCATTTGAAGCCTGGTCAAATGTTACCTGTTAACCAAGAAAACATACTCATGGCATACAAAATGATGCAAGCCGAAGGTACCATAGTAGATAATCATGTGATTATAAAAATAACAGTACCATTGATATCGACAGAGGTATTGCACATATACAAATTAACACCGATCCCAGCTACAAATGTATATGGTTTTCATCTGTTCAAAATTAAAACACCATTCATTGCAATTAACAACTATCGAGATAAGTTTGTTGATATGACGACGGAAGACATAGCAAATTGTTATCCAAGATCGATAAATGATTTCATTTGTCACAGCAAGCAATCAATGTTCTCTACAGAAATGAGCTGCGAAATGCAACTATTCCACAATAAAACAGACACGTCATGCCATCTGGAAATCACAAATAAAACGTTCATTTGGCAAGAGATGCATAAAAAGAATCAATGGATATTTGCGACAAGGACGCCAATAAAACTCTCAGCTGTTTGCACCGATGGAACATCAGATATCTAGTTACGCAACACGGGACTACTGACAGCAAGAGCAGGATGCACCATACGCAACTCTCTAATAACAGTCAAACTGGTATAGAAACATCGACGCTCATCTCATACGCCCGTTTTGGAGAAATCGATGGTAACAATACAACGATTAAAAGACAGAACACCACATCCAGCAAAACAAATAAATTTGGTTATACCAAACTACTGGATCTTCAACGGGATCTTGTACCAAACCGAAGACTGAGACTACCACATAGACTTGAGACGATCAAGCATCACCACATCGCAATGTACATTGGCTTAACATTCATCATAATAATATTGACCATTCACTGGGTAAGAAAATGGTACAAAGGAGACAAGAGACCACAGCAAGTCCAGGTACCAGCGGTGGCAATGAGGAAAACCGATACGACTTCGAGTCCGCCGTTCACCATTAACATCGATGATTGTTGAAACTACGTTCAACGGCCGGGAGGATGTACGAGTTCAAGACATGCAGAAAATCGTGCATTGCAGATAGGCAACAGATGATCCTATACAAACAGGTACCGCTGCGCATTTACGACCTCACACCATCTGTCAGCACGCATGATAAGGACCTGCATGCGTCATAAACCTAAGCGATAAAGGATAATGTTATCCTATTTTACAACTGTCCAAACTAGTAAACTATAAGCAGATAATAATTTGACCTAAACAAACATTAGTTCTTAAGATCTTGTATATAAAAACCCTGCATATTCCACAATAAAATCAGTACTCAACGAAAACTCGTGGTATTCACTTCTCCGAGCTCAATTTGTTTCAAGTACAGATTGCGGCAACGAAATTGTTACTGGTATCAAGAACCGGTGGCAGACAAAAGCAACTTTTCAGCTACACAATTTACAAATACTATATTTTTTTGTCGTCATAAATTGTGAGGTCGATAAACCTTTGATACACCCTCGCAGTTAAGAACGGATTTGTATCGCAAATAACGGATATACTTGGTCGATCCATATGGGAATTTCACAATAAAACCTATTTATTAAAATAAAGTATTAAAAATTTAATTTAAATTTAATTTAAAATTTAAATTCTCAAGCTTCTATCTTAAAAAACACGAACGTTTTTTTGTGCTTTGAAAGCTTTGCAAATTCCTTGGGTAATTTCCGATTGTTTAGTTATGTGACAGCTATAGGATATATTCCGCCAAATAACCTTATGAAAATTTGGAATATAGTATTATTTTGCCAAAAACAGCATTTATTCAAAATCCCCATTTTAAAAACGCTTAAGTTATAGAATTTTCGATCAATCACTTATATGGGAGCTGTAGACTATAGTCAGCCAATCCCGGCCGTTCCGCCTGATACATTGCGAGCCATTGATCCATAGGTTTTCAGTTTTCCGCACTGAAGTTTTCTTCAGTTTAAGATTAATAGGGAAAAGCGTATAACCGGTTTGCCTGTTTTGTTTTACGATTCCATTATTTCGTTGGTATGAACCAGTTTTCTGGACGCGTTGCTACGGCCCAAAAAAAGTTGTGTATTGAAGTACTGCACTAAGATACTGCACTGTACTGATACTGATACTGAGATACTGAGTACTGCACTGTCGGATTGAGAATGTGAGAGGAAGAGAGTAGAATGTTATTAAAGAAACTTTATATCCGACAGCCCCAATTTAAAGAACCATAACTATTTAAATTGTATCCAAATTTCTCCCAATTGGCAAATGTTTTGATACAAATTTTCTAATTAAAAAAACGCACAAACAAATTTTTATTTAAGACTGAGACTTTTTTGAACTGAACTCCTACAGTTTCCACGCAGATCAAGTTATAGTCAAAACAAGTAATAAAATTAAAAAAATTGTCAAAAAATGTTGTTTGAACATTGATGGTTTTTAATGGCAGTAAAAATAAAAGACGAATTTACATAAATTAAAACGTTATAAATGTTTATTCCTGCATGCAGATGAAGCCGAATGATCAGCAGATAGACCAGCATATTTGCATGCAGGGACTCAAGTTAATGCACAGAGAGGACGGCCCGACGAGTCACTGCGAAGCTAAAGCTCTCACAGCAAAGGTAAAGCTCTCGGAGAGGGCGGCCCGACCTAGACATTTGCGGAGCTAAAACTCTCCAAAGCTAGTGAATCGTGCGGCCGAGAGTAAGTCGGCTTGCGATCAACTAAGCCACTTGTACATACTTAAGCCTAAAAAATAAAAATTACACTAAACATTACATTAACATTATTTAAACATCAACATTAAACGCCGTGCTGCTGCCTGACCCGACAAATGTTATGGTGGCTTTTTCAATGGTAATTTTCAAAAAAGTTATATTCTTTCTGTTCAGAACTTCTGTTTCCCTACTGGACTTTTGTCTGTTTCACTACTAGTTTTAATTGTCGGATATTTATACCCTTGCAGAGGGTATTATAATTTTGTCCAAAAGTGTGCAACGCAGTGAAGGAGACATCTCCGACCCTATAAAGTATATATATTCTTGATCAGGATCACCTCCTGAGTTGATATGAGCATGTCCGTCTGTCCGTCTGTCTGTCTGTTTCTACGCGAACTAGTCTCTCAGTTTTAAAGCTATCGTCTTGAAACTTTGCACACACCCTTCTTTCCTTTGCACGCAGTATATAAGTCGGAACGGCCCGGATCGGCCGACTATATCCTATAGCTGCCATATAACTGATTGATCGGAAATGGTATAACTTTGGTGTTTTTAGAGTTAGAGAGTTCAAATTTGACATGAGAGCTATTTTTGGCAAAACATTACGTCATGCCAAATTTCATAAGGATCGGCCGACTATATCTTATAGCTGCCATATAACTGAACGATCGGAAATGACCCAACTTTCGTGTTTTTGAAGATAGAAAGCTGAAATTTAATACAGATTCTATTTTTGGTCAGTTAATCCAACCTACCAAATTTCATTAGGATCGGCCGACTATATCTCATAGCTGCCATATAACTGAACGATCGGAAATGGTATTTGGTAGAAATATCAACTTTCGTATTTTCGAAGATAGAAGTTTGGGACTTTTTTTAGATTTTGTATTGTAATAAATTGGATTGTATATTCCTATTCAGATAAGGATCGGCCAACTATATCCGATGTTTGCGATATATATCCGGTTTTAACTGCAAGGGTATATAAACTTCGGCTCCGCCCGAAGTTAGCTTTCCTTTCTTGTTTAGATTTTTTATTGTAATTAATTGGTTTTATTATGATGTAATCATAAGGATCGGCCAACTATATCCGATGTTTGCGATATATATCCGGTTTTAACTGCAAGGGTATATAAACTTCGGCTCCGCCCGAAGTTAGCTTTCCTTTCTTGTTTCTTGTCAAATACCTCCTCACTTGTTTTTTTCCGCCTTAATGTCATGAACACCCAAACATTTAGAAAACAAATATTTTTAAAATAGACGCATTTTTTTCGTTTTTTGTTTAATAGCTATGTTTAAATAAGCTAAAATAATATTTTTTATTACAGAAATATGTCCGAAAGATTGGAGTCGACCAAGGAAACGATTATGCGTGGTTTTGATTACCAATAACTCTGTAAATAACGAAATCGAAAGAAATACTCTTAGGAATATTGCTTTAAAAAGAGAGTATAATTATGAAAGAGTTCGATTCGCTTATATGTTTAAGGTAAGAATCTGTGATTGTACGTACGTATTTTGCCTCGCAAAAATCTCGTATAATGTTGGGAAGCGGACCCAAAAAGAGCGTTTAGTGACAGTTATATATTTCACTTTATATGTCCAGATTTCGCTCATTGTACCAATGCAGCGGGTATTACAATTTTGGTCAAAAGTGTGCAACGCAGTGAAGGAGACATCTCCGACCCTATAAAGTATATATATTCTTGATCAGGATCACCTCCTGAGTTGATATGAGCATGTCCGTCTGTCCGTCTGTCTGTCTGTCCGTTTCTACGCGAACTAGTCTCTCAGTTTTTAAGCTATCGTCTTGAAACTTTGCACACACCCTTCTTTCCTTTGCACGCAGTATATAAGTCGGAACGGCCCAGATCGGCCGACTATATCATATAGCTGCCATATAACTGATTGATCGGAAATGGTATAACTTCGGTGTTTTTAGAGTTAGAGAGTTCAAATTTGACAAGAGAGCTATTTTTGGCAAACCATTACGACATGCCAAATTTCATAAGGATCGGCCGACTATATCTTATAGCTGCCATATAACTGAACGATCGGAAATGACCCAACTTTCGTGTTTTTGAAGATAGGAAGCTGAAACTTAATACAGATTATATTTTTGGCCAGATGATCCAACCTACCAAATTTCATTAGGATCGGCCGACTATATCCTATAGCTGCCATATAACTGAACGATCGGAAATGACACAACTTTTGTGTTTTTGAAGATAGAAGTTTGGGACATTTTTAGGTTTGGTTTTTGTATTATAATAAATTGGGTAATATTATCATATTCTCATAAGGATCGGCCAACTATATCCGATGTTTGCGATATATATCCGGTTTTAACTGCAAGGGTATATAAACTTCGGCTCCGCCCGAAGTTAGCTTTCCTTTCTTGTTGTATATCATTTCAGTATTAAAGATACCAAAAAATATGAAAAATTAAATTATTTCAGAAAAAAACAAGAAAGGAAAGCTAACTTCGGGCGGAGCCGAAGTTTATATACCCTTGCAGTTAAAACCGGATATATATCGCAAACATCGGATATAGTTGGCAGATCCTTATGATTACATCATAATAAAACCAATTTACTAAAATACAAAATCTAAAATAAGTCCCAAACTTCTATCTTCAAAAATACGAAAGTTGATATTTCTACCAAGTACCATTTCCGATCGTTCAGTTATATGGCAGCTATAGGATATAGTCGACCGATCCTAATGAAATTTGGTAGGTCGGATCAACTGGCCAATAATAGAATCTGTATTAAGTTTCAGCTTTCTATCTTCAAAAACACGAAAGTTAGGTCATTTCCGATCGTTCAGTTATATGGCAGCTATAAGATATAGTCGGCCGATCCTTATGAAATTTGGCATGTCACAATAATTTGCCAAAACTAGCTCTCATGTCAAATTTGAACTCTCTAACTCTAAAAACACCAAAGTTATACCATTTCCGATTAATCAGTTATATGGCAGCTATAGGATATAGTCGGCCGATCCGGGCCGTTCCGACTTATATACTGCGTGCAAAGAAAAGAAGGGTGTGTGCAAAGTTTCAAGACGATAGCTTCAAAACTGAGAGACTAGTTCGCGTAGAAACGGACAGACAGACAGACGGACAGACGGACATGCTCATATCAACTCAGGAGGTGATCCTGATCAAGAATATATAAGTAAATATAAATTGATTGGTAGGTAAATATAGTGGTAGTTAGTTATCCCTCGCTGCAGTCGATGATGCTGTAGACGCCGGAGGTATTTGTGAGATGATTTCCCCTTGCGGTTGCAGAGGGGGTGTTGCCACTCCTTATAGGCAGTGGTTGAGTTCCCTGGCGGTTGCCGGGGGGGATCCTTCCTGTAACAGGAGTTATGATGGGAGCACTTGCCCCGTTGTCACGGCCCTTGAGGCGCGGTGACCAATTCAACAAATGAATTTACAAATTAACGGCAGTGCCGGAGATTGGTTTTATGCTCTTTATTGTATGAGACTCTGACACAAACTGAAACTTAAAGCTAACAAAAAGTATTTCATAGCGGCCACGCAAATGTGCAGTGCTTGCCGCTATGCATGGGCTTCCGGCCAGACGCTATGTCAGCAGTTTGGCCAGAGCGAACTCTTAAATAATCGGACATTGCCGCTGCTTGGTTAACTTCAGTTAACTACTCCCCCCTCAAGAATGAGGCCGCCCTCGGCCGACCCTATTTGGGCAATCATCTCCTTCAGCTGGGCCGCGGTTTTTCGGGCCTGAGTGACTCGCCGATAGGTCAAACCGATGCAAATTAAAGCGCAGCATATTGCTCCCGCTATGAACACCAACTGATGTAGTCGCTGGTGATTAATTTCCTTCCCGAACTCCTTGATGTGCTCCAGATTACGTTCACTCAGTCGGTGAAGGTATGGAAGGCTGAGAACGTCACGTTCCATGGTGATGTTCAGGGAAGGTGAGCTGGCCACTCCTGGAGCCCTCTTCTGGGCTGTGTCATGATTGACCAATCGGGTTTCGTTGACCATGGCACTCTTCTCAAATGTGATGAGATATGTGCCTTTTATATGGGCACAGGTGCCATTGTCCACACACACGTGAGCCGAGCGATCATTCACAATTACTATTCCTTCATCAACATAAGTGATGGGATGTAAATCGCTTTGCTGGATCTCGCAATGCGCCGTGCCTCCAGCGTGAAGCTCTTGGGCGCATGATCTTCTGCGAGCCAATCGGCAAAATGTAGCTCCTGATGTCGGGGAGCACTTTTCCACGGTGTGGATCTCGCTGTTGCATTCGGCAATGACGTTATCTTCCAGCCTGAGCATGGTGTCGTGATGTGACACTGGGAAAACGGTAATCTTGCTGCAGGCCGACTTTATCTTTGGAAACTTAATGATAAAATGTAATATGTTATCGGACTGTAAGATCTTAACGGACGATACGGACAAAACATCCCTAATCGCGGTCTCGGTGGGCTCTTCCATCCACACACCTTCCAGGTCTGCATGATCTAGTATGCTGGGGCTAACAATATTAACTTTGGCAAGTGCCACTGCTAGCATCAAACCCTGTAGCTCCATTGCTATCATCCTATTTCGAGTTAAAAGCATCTCGAATAGGTGCCCAGTATCAATTTGGGACTTTTTGCCGACCTCAGAAGTTGGTTGACGGTATCGGAAATTTTATTAATTTGAATTTGTACTTTGTTGTTAATATTAATCTGCCTATTGTTTGCATTTGTTAATTGGAATTGATTAAATTTAACTTTTTCAAAATCTTCTGCGTCCGGCGTTCCTGCCACCACCTTTAGCGCAGTCCCTAAGAAGTCTAAACTTCTTGCCACTCTATGATGGACGCTCAAAGAGTCGAGCATGTCGCGTAAGTGGGCGACGTCAACAACCAAGAGTTTCTGCATGTGGGATTGCGGGAACATGACGGTCATCCCATTAGTTTCTTCGATGACGCGCCTATATTCCGAGAGATTTGCCGAGTGCTTTATAAAGGCAAATTCCTCCCATATCAGGATTCGCCCATCAACGATAGGGATATATTTGGCTTTGGAATAGTCCGTGACGCGTGCCGAAGTTGTGGCCAAAAGGAGAATCAGGGATATGGTTGAAAACCTGTAATTTTGATGTGTTATGAATTTTGTTGAAGTTGGGTAGCCCACCACCAAAGCATGATTAACATAATAAAGGGTGCAAACTTATGCCTAGTGGCTAGAAAAAAGATAAAGAAAAGTTTGATTATCAGGCGGGCGATAACATGGTCGCGCTCGGCCTACCTAAGGTTGTCTTTGTGGACCACCCTCCCCTTAATGAGGACTGTGGTCCCCATGTCCGCTTCAACGGTTTTCTCTTCACATAATGGTGAGAGTTTGTTGCCTAGGCGTCTGTTGGACTTCACTAGGACTTTCTCGCCAACCTCGAATACTCTATTTTGGCGGGAAGCGTTTTCTCTGTCCCGGAGCTTGTCTTGGGCGAGTTTAATTTTATCTTGAATTCCATATTGTGGCTCACCTGATTGTGTCTGAACCACGTCAGCCGGTCTCTTGTCGATGACCGAGTGGATGGACTTGTTATATCTGGCCGTGGCCAAAAGTATCAGCTCTACGGTATCGCTGATGCCTTTATCGATTTTAAGACATCTAGCCAGCTCTACCAAAGTGCTGTGGAAACGCTCCACTTGTCCATTGGAGACACTGTGTAGGGGCGGAGCATTTGAGATGCTAACGCCGAAATGGTTTTCCAGCATGGTCACGATGGTGTGCGAGTTCAACGATGGTTCGTTGTCGCAATATACGACCTTGGCCTTAGGGAACATATTCATCAGCTGTAGTAATGCTGGTTTGAGATCCTCTATGGTCCTAGAGGGAATTGGTTGGACTACCGCAAATTTCGAGAATTTGTCGATGCATGTAAGGAAATATTTTTTATCCGTGGAGAAGATGTCTATGTGCAGCATTTCTCCTACTTGAGATGGGATTGGGGTTTCGCCAAGCTCTTGTTTCTTCGGATGCCTGTCGTATTTTGCCTTGGCGCAAGTCTTGCATGAAATGACTATTTCGTTCGCTAGCTTGGCCATTTTCGGGAAGTAGTACTCGGAGAGTACCTGCTTCACGTTTTCTTGGGCAGATCTGTGAGCTCTGTTGTGCTCGACAGTAAGAATTTCTCGCCTTTCATCGACTGCAAAAATGTCCGTTACTCGGTTTTTGCAGTGCCAGAATCTTGTGGCAGGGAATTGTCGGATTAGTTTGTCCTGTATCACTGCGAGCGTATGCAGATCGCAATGAATGGCGTTTACGCCTTTAGGAACTATTATGGTTGCGAGCTCTTCCAGCAATGACTCCTCGTGAGTGAAGTCAATAATATGCCGTCTCTTGTTTCCAAAGAGAACGAAGTTCCGCTTTGACGGAGAGCGTGCTTCCTCCAGAATTATCTGGTTTTGAAAGGAATTGAGGGGCTTGTCCGTGGATTGAATTGTGTGGGTAAGCGAC